GCTCATCAATGTCGTCGTTTTCGGTTTTCGTCGTTTCCGACGTGACGACGAGCCTCGCGAGGTGCATTCACGACCGGTGTGGTCCTGGTTCTCTCCATGCCCAGCATGGATTGGACGGCGCCGTTGTTGGCTGCGCCTGAGCGCTGTCCCACGCTGTCGTGCTGCAATGATGTGCCGTATGAAATGATAATCGGCTCTTCCGATTGTGCAGGTGCATTTGCGGGTGCTGGTGCTAGTGCATTCACCGTTGATTGCTGTCGGGCGGAGTCGCGTTGCGCCATGAGCATCGCGATTTCGAGCGTCGATTACTTGAGCTGACGCACAATTTGGTCGAGGCGCTCTTGCGTCAACGTCGCGAGGTTGAATTCGGCCATGTCGGGGGTGTCGGGCGAGCTCAGCGAGAGCCTCAATCGTGGCTGAATGTGCTTACGAGAAGGCACACAGGCAACGGTGCTTGGTCGCTGAGAGACGTCTACCCCCTTCAAAATTTGAGATAGTGGGGAAGCAAAGGTGTGGGCGCGGTCCGAGAAGAGATCGTAGGCTCTGAATACCAAGTGTTACGTGTGCAATTGAGTGAACGAGCGGGAATTGCACTATCGAAGCAAAAGAGTACATAGAGCGAAGGCATGAGCGAACAATATAAAGCGAAGCTAGCGTGGTAACGGTAACGCGGGAAATTGGGGTGCGCTACGGGCCTAGCGCTGAGGTTGGGTATTGTCGAGGCGGAGGACCGGAGTGCGGGTTACCAACCGAACCGTGAGGTTGGGTCGCGAGGTGTACAGTGGTGGGAACAGTGGTCGAGGCGAGTGTTGCGACCGGGTAACGTTTTACTGTGGGGTGCTGTTGGCGGGAACAGTCATGTACGCGGTAAACAGGGGCGCGAAGTAAGGAAAAGAAATTTTCCTTACAACCACCTACAAGATATAATAATTACACCACAACTATAGCTACTGGCAGTTATATATGTGTATATGTATATGCATTATATATTACGACAATTTTTCCCCTTACTGTAGAGACATCGCAACTTTGCGGCGCAGGAACCCGTTTCAATAGATCTGCCTGCATCTGTCTTGAAGTTTAACCATCTTTGCCCATGACTCTGAGGGCTAGGCCCCTACCCTACATGAATGTGAGGCCCCGATTGAGGTATTTCTTGCTTAGATAAGACTTCGAACATTTATGAAGAATGGTCTACACTACTGAGAGAAGCGGAGCTACTTGTAAAGAAAATGAAATTCATGTAGGTACAAAAGTGTTGGGAGGACTCGTCGTGACCATTATGACTGGGAGGGCATGGAGGAGCGCGCAACGTTCATCCCGAAAGGCTATTCGATAGTCGTTCCTTTGATATGTGGCCACCCGCGGAAATGTGCGGATGAGCGGAAAACGGCGGGGGACGCGGGCGAGTGGGGGGGGGTTACCGTGAATTTGCGGCGTGGGGGCTTCCATTCCATGTGCGCGCGTGCAGTGGTGTTGGTGGTGGCGGCAATGGCGCTTCTTGCGCATGTCTGTAGCGCAGTTCAGCTACAAGCGTCTCAAGGTGGGGGTCGTGCAGTGGTGCTGTGCGGAACTTGCGGTGCTGTGTGGGTTCAGCCAGCATCATGCTAGTAGTACTTCGGCATTGCCTCACCCAACCCCCATCCAATCGAGACCTTCGCCATTCCGTGATCCCTTGGCTGTACGGGGCGCGTGCCACCCGTGCTATCTGCATCGCGGCTGCCTGCATCATTTTCCCCGTTTCCCCTTCCCCACGTTCCCCGCGTTGCCCACGTTTGCCCGCCCGCGTTGCGCGCGTTGCGTGGCAGCGGCGGTGCTGCAGGAGTGCGAGGCGGTGTGGAACATGACGGGGAGCGGGTGGACGGCAGGCGGGGACTGCTCGCTACCTGATAGCAGCGTCACTTGCAATGCAGAGGGAATGGTCACGAGCCTGTGAGTGACACAACATCATCGTACCCGCGTGTGCTGCGTGCTGTGCGGCGTTGTGTTGTGTTGTACGTACGGTGATGCGAGTGTCTGCTTGTCCCTCTCTCCTTCAACCCTCGCTTTTTAGTTCCGCCTTTCAAGTGCGTCTCCCTCTTGCCGGCCTACGGGCCGTCCCTTCCCCTTCCCACCATGGCCGCAGGAACTTTTTAGAATTGAATCTGAACGGATCCATTCCCACCAGCATCGCCAACCTCACCGCACTCACTTTCCTGTTCGTGTAGCTGTGGCACCCCTCCCCATGTGCTTTGAGTTGAGACGTTGCAAAACTCACAGAACTCGATTTCTTGTGCGTGTTGCATCCCTCTCCGCATGCTTCTTGCATTCCCCTTCTTGCTCATTGCTTCCCTCTCCGCATCCTTGCCACCATTAGCTGATCTGATACATAAAGCTGTCCCACATTCCTACAAGCACACGCACATGCACGCACACACACATGCACGCACACGTACACGCACGCACACACACATGCACGCACACACACATGTACGCACACACACACGCACGCACACAAACATGCACGCACACACACATGCACGCACACACACATGCACGCACACACACATGCACGCACACACACATGTACGCACACGCACATGCATGCACACACACATGCACGCACACATGTACGCACACGCACATGCACGTACACGCACATGCATGCACACGCCCATGCATGCACACACACACATGCACGTACACACACATGCATGCACACGCACATGCACGTACACACACATGCATGCACACGCACATGCACGTACACGCACATGCATGCACACGCACATGCACGTACACGCACATGCATGCACACGCCCATGCATGCACACACGCACATGCACGTACACACACATGCATGCACGTACACACACATGCATGCACGTACACACACATGCATGCACACACACATGCACGCACACACACATGCACGCACACACACATGTACGCACACGCACATGCATGCACACGCACATGCACGTACACACACATGCATGCACGCACACACATGCTGCTGAAAGTGAAACGATCCCTCAGCGACTCCAGTGCATGAGTATGCCCAACCTTTCTCCGCCCTGCCTTTGCCCTGCCTTACTGATTGGCATTGTATGTATGCAACTGGCTTTGGGTTGCTCTATGCAACATGCCGTACCGTGCTGTGCTGTGCCGTACCATTCTGTGGTGGGCTGGGACTTTGCTGTGATGTGTGGTGAGAATGATCATGGGGGTTGCATCACAATGCAGCAAGCTAGAGTATTCAAATGTCAACGGGCCCGTGCCCCCTGCCCTTTCTCGCCTCACTCGACTAGCTCAACTGTACGACCACCTCGAGTGTGTGCGCGTGCATGGATGTGTGTGTGTGTGTGTGTGTGTGTGTGTGTGTGTGTGTGTGTGTGTGTGTGTGTGTGTGTGTGTGTGTGTGTGTGTATGGATGGATGTACGTAGGTATGTGCGTGCGTGCGTGCCTGCCTGCCTGCCTGTGTACGTACGTACGTATGTGTGTATGTATGTGCGATCGGACCACAGGGCCAAAAGTAGGGCTGGCTTGACTCGACTTTTGGGGCACCTAAAACAAGGTGAGGTGTGTGTATGCATGCTTGTGAACTCAGAGGGGTTCGACTCGAACCATGGGCCGAGGGAAAGGCCCCTGTTTGACCTGACATACTGCCCTGCTCAGGGCTTGTAGAGAAGTGATGTGGGGTGAGGTGAGGTGAGGTGAGGTGAGGTGAGGTGAGGTGAGGTGAGGTGAGGTGAGGTGCCTCAAAACTCGTATGCATGCAGGTGCGCACATGCACACCCGCATTGCCCTCCTTTCTTTCGCAAGCGCACACCCACATCTTTTCACTGCATGGCACACATTCAACCAATTTAACTTATCCCCAACCTTCCCTTTCTCCCTTCCTCTTTCTCTCACCATATCTCCTCTCCTTGTCGGCGTCTCCTTGTTCCTTCCTTTCTCCCTCGTCCTTCTCAACCCTTTCCTTTCTGCATTCACCTCTTTGTTGCATCTCTTTCAAAGGCAGCACCCTACATAGGAACAACTTGACCGGACCCATTTCCGTCCTGCATCACTTCAGCCTTCTCACCCACCTGTGATTCCTCTTCCCCCTCCCTTGTGCTCCCGGCCACGCCCTCGCCCTCCTACCCTCCCTCCCCTTCACTCGTATCGCGCTCTCCTTCCTTCCCTCGACTGACCTCTGTTCATACTTGCTTTTTCCATTCCTGTGTGTTTGGTGTGTGTTGTTCTGCTCGTTCTCCTTCATTCGCTGCACGTTTTCTAGAGAGAGAAATGCTGCTATAAGTAAGCAATGCAATAGAGAGGGCGATAGAGTGGAAACTTTTGATTTCCCAGTTTTCCAACTACTCCACTATCTGAGTCCCATTACATTTGATACAGCTGAATGTCTTACACACCCTCAATTTCTCTGCTCTCTACCGTCTGCCCTCTGCCTTGCCTGTAGTGACCTCTCTGTTACTAACTTCTACGGGTCCATCCCCTCCTCCATCTCACGACTCTCCTTACTTTTGCACATGTGAGCACCTCTCTCCACCCCTCAGAATTGTTTCATATGCAAACTTGTAACGAAAGTGGCTGCATCACTGGCTTTTTGGAAAGCACAGTCATGCATGCCACATGCCACATGCCACATGCCCCATGCCACATGCCACATGCCACATGCCACATGCCCCATGCCACATGCCACATGCCACATGCCACATGCCACATGTCACATGCTCCATGCCACATGCCACATGCCACATGCCACATGTCACATGCCCCATGCCACATGCCACATGCCACATGTCACATGCTCCATGCCACATGCCACATGCCCCATGCAACATGCCACATGCCACATGTCACATGCTCCATGCCACATGCCACATGCCACATGTCACATGTCACATGCTCCATGCCACATGCCACATGCCCCATGCAACATGCCACATGCCACATGTCACATGCTCCATGCCACATGCCACATGCCACATGCCACATGCCACATCGTACATGGCAGGAACCTTACAGCAACCAAGATTTTGGGACCCATTCCCTCCACCATCTCAGCTCTCCATAAACTTGAAGATTTGTACGCTTTGTATGGGTGCTGCCATGTATGGGTGCTGCCATGGCATGCATGGGTGCTGCCATGCATGGGTGCTGCCATGCATGGGTGCTGCCATGCCATGCATGGGTGCTGCCATGCATGGGTGCTGCCATGCCATGCATGGGTGCTGCCATGCATGGGTGCTGCCATGCCATGCATGGGTGCTGCCATGCATGGGTGCTGCCATGCATGGGTGCTGCCATGCATGGGTGCTGCCATGCATGGGTGCTGCCATGCGTGGGTGCTGCCATGCCATGCATGGGTGCCGTCAACAGTACTAGCATCAATGATTTGCCATTTCGTGCCTTCCCATCCACTCCATACCACATGCATTCTACCCTGGCAATTCTCACATAGCGCTTCGCTCTCCACACCCTCCCTCCCCCTTCACGTAATTTTTTTTTGTCTCCTCCATTGCCCCAATCCCACCTCTATCTGTGCTCCGCACCCCTCGTGGCCGTCTGGCAGGACCCTATCCAACATCAGCATTTCGGGGTCCATCCCCTCTACCATCTCCGGCCTCTCCTCTCTCACCTACTTGTCAGCGCCCTCCCTGTCGCCCATCCCCGCCCAGACTGTTTTGTGTTGTGCAAGAGTCTGACTTTGGGGTCTGCTCTGCTGACATGATTTTTGGTCTGGAAAGAAGAGTTGGCTTACTGGATTGTTCGACTCCTCGTCCTCTGTTGTGTTGCCACGCTGCCATATTGATGCCTCTGCTGTTGCATAGCGAGCTTGATTGACCAATTAGCATAAAAGACGGGGGGACGAAACTGATGAGATGCGAATTTAGCCAAGTTCCTCCTCCTCCTCCTCCTCCTCCTCCTCCTCCTCCTCCTCCTCCTCCTCCTCCTCCTCCTCCTCCTCCTCCTCCTCCTCCTCCTCCTCCTCCCGCTAATGATCAGGCCTGACCCACCAATTGCATGCCTTGTGTGCTGTCTGCCCCTCCCATTCCCTTGTGAATGCATACTACTCTCCCTCTACTTGCCAATGCACCCATGTGGCATCTCGTCTCGTCCACATGGCAATGCGCTGCACACTAGTGAAGTGACGTGTCCAACACTCGCCTCAGCGGCACGATCCCCAGCACTATTGGACGGCTCACCAATCTCGCGTACTTGTATGTATGTGGTACGGGGTTTGTGAGCATGCTAGGGGTGGGGTGTCACACATGCATGCATCCACGCACCCACCCACCCACCCACCCCCCCCCCCCCCCCCCTCCCCCCCCGCACACACACACACACACCCACACACACCCATCGTCGTTCCCTCAACAGTACCTTATCATTCATCAGCTTAAAAAAAGCCAAACATATACTTATCTTCACAGCTTGTGTCCATATCCTTACCAATAAAGTGCCATCATGACTGGTCCTCACCCCACCTGCTCCTCCCTCCCACTGCATCTCCTTGTCCTTGTTTCACCCATCCCACACCCGCCCTGTCCCAGATATATTTTCAACACAGACCTGTCGGGCTCACTGCCAGCCTCCCTTGGTGGTCTTTCCAATCTCATTCGCATGTTGGTCCTTGCACTGCATCATACGCCACATCCTTGGGGTTTTTTGTTAGTTTGTCTTTTCATCTTTTCTTCTTCTTCCTGTTTGCTTCTTTTATTCTCTCGTGGGTGACATTTTGACTCCTTCTAAAAGGCCGCCTGCTGCTGCTTGGATGTCCCCAATGTCCCGTGTGCACAAATACTAGACGTGGTCCTCCCGTCACCATAATGAGCTGACCAGAACCATAATGAGCTGACCAGAACCATAATGAGCTGACCAGAACCATAATGAGCTGACCAGAACCATAATGAGCTGACCAGAACCATAATGAGCTGACCAGAACCATAATGAGCTGACCAGAACCATAATGAGCTGACCGGAAACATAACGAGCTGACCGGAAACATAATGAGCTGACCAGAACCATAATGAGCTGACCAGAACCATAATGAGCTGACCAGAACCATAATGAGCTGACCAGAACCATAATGAGCTGACCAGAACCATAATGAGCTGACCGGAAACATAATGAGCTGACCGGAAACATAATGAGCTGACCAGAACCATAATGAGCTGACCAGAACCATAATGAGCTGACCAGAACCATAATGAGCTGACCAGAACCATAATGAGCTGACCAGAACCATAATGAGCTGACCAGAACCATAATGAGCTGACCGGAAACATAATGAGCTGACCGGAAACATAATGAGCTGACCAGAACCATAATGAGCTGACCAGAACCATAATGAGCTGACCAGAACCATAATGAGCTGACCAGAACCATAATGAGCTGACCAGAACCATAATGAGCTGACCAGAACCATAATGAGCTGACCGGAAACATAATGAGCTGACCGGAAACATAATGAGCTGACCAGAAACGTATGAGCTGACCAGAACCATAATGAGCTGACCAGAACCATAATGAGCTGACCAGAACCAGAATGGGCTGACCGGAAACATAATGAGCTGACCGGAAACATAATGAGCTGACCGGAAACATAATGAGCTGACCAGAACCATAATGAGCTGACCAGAACCATAATGGGCTGACCGGAAACATAATGCGTTGACCAGAAACATAATGAGCTGACCAGAAACGTATGAGCTGACCAGAACCATAATGAGCTGACCAGAAACATAATGAGCTGACCAGAACCATAATGAGCTGACCAGAACCATAATGAGCTGACCAGAACCCTAATGAGCTGACCAGAACCCTAATGAGCTGACCAGAACCCTAATGAGCTGATTGAACCACAGACGCACAGTCACGCCACTGGATGTGTACTACCACAAACATGGTTCACACGGAAACATGTGACACTCACATATCGCTGTGCAACCACCAGCACAGAATTTTGTTTCTTCCAGTCGAATCAAATGAACGCGTTTGGCGTAAAATTTTAACAAACAGAATGCAGCTTCGTTGTATGCACATTCTTTATGCCACTCATCCTTGCCACAACACTCCAAACGCACCCCTCTTTACTCCCCTATCCACCGCATTGCTCTTTCCAGATTAACCCCTGCAGGGGTGAAATGCGGCAGGGCTGGCAGCAGCTGTGAGATCCAGCAGAACGCCTCCTCCTACTTCTGCCGGGCTCTCTGCTTTGAATTCTGTGCCTCGTGCATCCCAGTCAACAGTAAAAACGTTTCCTTCTTTCTTTTTCTCTCTTCCATTTGCTTGCATTGCTTGTGTCATAGTTCACATGGGGTTGCACCTCATGTTCCTTCGTGCACGTGATATCCTACTGCCAACATGCCCATCTGACGGTCATCTCCATCTCACAAGCATCATGCCATCTCACATGCATCTTGCCATCTCACATGCATCTTGCCATCTCACATGCATCTTGCCATCTCACATGCATCTTGCCATCTCACATGCATCTTGCCATCTCACATGCATCTTGCCATCTCACATGCATCATGCCAATTTATGGTCGTGTTGGCATCACAGCTCGCCAGCACAACAGCTGCTCTCCCCTGCCACAATCCCTCCATCCATCCACACCCCTCTTCCCTTCCCACATTCGAACTCCGCCACCCTCCTCCCCCTCCTCCACTCACTCCTCCTCTCTCTCCCAACCTCGCTCTCATGATCCCTCCGCCTCCTCCTCTCTCCTCTCTTCTTGCCGTCTCCTCTCAGCTCGCCCCTCCTCCTGCTCCTCCACCCACCGCCGGTTTACCAACCTCTGCGATTGTGGGAATATCCGTGGGAGTGTTGTGTCTTCTTGTGGCTGCTGCTGTCGCTGCTGTCGTGGCTGCTGGGTGTGTGAGACGGGGGGACCAGGGGTTGGAAACACACCCACTAGCTGCCTCAGGTGAGAGGAAGTTTGGTACTGTGCCATGAAACGAAGAGGTAACATGGGCCATCTAAGGTGGTCGTCTGGTGGGGTGGCCATTCCTTCTGCTTTCCTAAAACTGACACACTGCTGCTGCCACCCCTTCCACTGCTGCTGCTGCTGCTGCTGCTGCTGCTGCTGCTGCTGCTGCTGCTGCTGCTGCTGCTACTGCTTCCACTGCTGCTTCTGCGGTCGTCACAGCCTCCTCTTCTGTTTATCGTGTTAACATAATTCCTCGTTCGATGTCTGTCACTGTAATTATCATTGCAGTGACTGCTACAGCCAGCCACCATCATCGTTTTCACCGTTGCCAGCCTCCCCCACCTCTTACCATCGAACCACAATCAGCTTCCCCACTCGCTTTCCCTCCTTCTCTCAACCCCCTCTCTCCTCTCTCCCCCTCTCCTTCCTTCACTGCAGCATCCCGTAACTTCGGTCGTTCCCGCTGTCCCAAGTTCCCCTTGTCTCTCGTGGCACAAGCAACGGGTGGGTGGAGTGAGATTAACAGGGTGGGGAAGCACGGGTGGAGCAGCAGCAGCAGCGGCGGCGGCACCAGCAGCAGCAGCGGCGGCGGCACCAGCAGCAGCAGCAGCAGCGGCAGCAGCAGCGGCAGCATTAGCAGCAGAACCAATAGAGGGCAGAGGTACAAGGCAGTGAGTCCTCTCGATGGGCGCCAGGTGTGGTTCGTTGTGAGGCGCGGCAACGAGGAGCTTTCCACAGACTTCCAGAAAGAGGTGAGAGACAGGGTTGTGGATAGTGCATTCTCTGCTGCTGCTGCTGCTGCTGCTGCTGCTGCTGCTGCTGCTGCTGCTGCTGCTGCTGCCACCGCGGGTTGTGTATAGTTCCAATGCAACTCCATCCTTGTGGGTGCTTCCTGTCCTGCCCAGGTGGCCACTCTTGGGTCCATGCGCCACACCAACCTGCAGCGACTGCTGGGGTATTGCTGGGAGGAGCGTGACTCTGCCCTTGACCGTGACTCGCCTGCTGCTGTTGGTGCTGATGCTGTTGCTGATGCTGTTGCTGATGCTGTTGCTGATGCTGTTGCTGATGCTGTTGCTGGTGCTGTTGCTGATGCTGTTGCTGGTGCTGGTGCCGGTGTTGATGCTAGTGCTGTTGCTGCTGCTGCTGCTGCTGCTGCTGCTGCTGCCAGTCATGCGGTGGAGCAAGCAGAGGAGGAGCAGGTGCTAGTGTTTGAGTGGGTGTCAGGAGGCAACCTGCACAGCCGCCTTGTTGCAAGTACATCTACGCTACGCCTGGCCCCTCTCCCAACCTACTCTGCCTCTGCTCCTCTCCCATCCCTACCCCTCGCTCCATGCCTCTACCTCATGGCTTGCTTATTGCGCTCTAGCCTCTGTTGGTGCTTGTGTGAGCCACTGCATCAGACCACTCCCTCCCCACCACCATCCTCGTTGCTGCATGCTTTTCTCTCATGCTTCCAGGGCTGTGTTTATTATCACTCGTACCACCATTCGTTGTGCGCAACTATTGAGAAACTTCTCGCAAAGCTCTTGCAAGGAACTCCCACAACAGCATTTCTGTTTGGTCGGCGTAAACACTCATGTTCTATGGCCATCTTGTCGGCGCTTGTGTGATCCACTGTGAAGAACATTCTCACTCATTACCCACCCCACAGCCCTCCTATGCTTCATGCTTTCCACGGTTGGATTGAGTAAATTACCTTCCTTCCTGCCACACGAGTATTCCTTCCCTACAACCCTTCTTTGCGTCACGCTTTCCACGGTTGTATTCATAACATTACTTCATACCTCACAACTATTGAGAATATTATCGCAAAGCTCTTGCAAAGAACTCCCACAACACCACTTCTGTTAAGTAAGCAAAAGCCAACTTCCACTGTTCCCCTTTATCTGTTCCCCTCTGTATCCTATCACACCACTGTCCCCTCTCCGCCCAACTCTCCCCCCGTCTCCCTCTACTCCCCGTTGCCCTCCTCCTCCTCCTCGTCTGCTCCCGTATACTCCTCTATACTCCCCTCTGCTCCCCTCTGCTCCCCTCTGCTCCCCTCTGCTCCCCTATTCTCCCCTCTGCTCCCTCTGCTCCCCTCTGCTCCCTCCCTTCCATATGCTCCCCCCCTCCGGCCGTGCAGAGGGCAGTGTGCCTCTGTCGGTGTGGCAGTGCCTGGATGTGACCGCGGGTGTGCTGCGAGGGCTGAAGGGAGTCAGGGAGCCGGGTGACTATGTAGTAGAGGGTGATGTACATGGGGGGGGGGTTCTTGGCGCAGAACTCAGCAGGAAGCGCAGCGCGGTAGCGAGTGTCACTAGTGCGGAGGTGCGCAATGAGGTCAGCGACTGTGGGAAAGGCAGCAAGGTCAGGGAAGAGGTACGGTAGCATGAGGCGGCTCAGTGCAGCAGTGGCAGGGGAGGAGTAGCGCGCAACTACAGCGTCGTACAAGGTCTGAGCACTCTTGTACTGGCTAAAGTGCGCACGCTCAGAGGTAGGCAGGTGGTGACGCACAGCAAGACGTGCAGCAGCATCACGTGTGGCCCACTGTGAGCGAACAGTGGCGTCGGCATCAGCAGCAGGGGCAGGAGAGGCACCAGAGGTGAGGTCAAAGAGGGAGAGACCGTCTGCCCTATCGCACTGTAGGAAAAGCTGCAGGTCATCTACCCAGACGTCAAAGTCAATGGCCCGACCCTCAGCGTCAAAAGCGAGGACACTAGGGGTAGCCATGACAGCAGTAGACTAGCAGCGCGAACAGTAGGGTAAGGGCAGTGCAGTGACAGAGGCGCTGCTCTTACCGGACAGGGCGGCTCGGCGGCTCGGCGGCTCGGCAACTCGGCGGCTCGAGCGGCTCGGGCGGCTCGGCGGTACGGCGGCTCGGCAGCAACTGCGGCTCGGCGACTCGGCGGCTCGGGCGGCTCGGCGGTACGGCGGCTCGGCAGCAACTGCAGCTCGGTGGCTCGGCGACCCGGCGGCTCGGGCGGCTCAGGTGGCGCGGCGGCTCGGGCGGCTCGGGTGGATCGGGCGGCTCGGCAGCAGCTCGGCGGCGCCGGCGGCTCGGTGGTGACGGCGGGGCCGCGTGGGGACGGCGGCGGGGCCGGGTGGAGCGGCGGCGGGGCCGGGTGGAGCGGCGTCGGGGCCGGGTGGAGCGGCGTCGGGGCCAGTAGAGGCGGCGCCGGGGCCGGGAAGGGCAGCTCCGGGGCCGCAGGGGTAGGCGACGGGGCCAGCAGAGGCGGCGCCGAGGTAGGGAAGGGCGGCGCCGGGGCCGCAGGGGTAGGCGACGGGGCCGCTAGGGCGGCTAGGAGGGGGGGGTCGCGAGGGCGGCTTGAAGAGGCCGCGAGGGCGGCTAGAAAGGGCCGCGAGGGCGGCGTGAAAGGGCCGCGAGGGCGGCGCGACGCGACGGAGCCGCGAGGGCGGCGGATCGGGGCCGCGAGGGCGGCGCGACGCGGCCGCTAGGGCGGCGCGACGTGAAGGGGCCGCAAGGGCGACGCGACGGGGCCGCAAGCGCGACACGACGGGGCCGCTGAGGCGGCGCGACAGGGTCGAGAGAGGGGAGCGCGACTCGGGCAGTGTAGAGCGCGCTCCGGGCAGGAAAAAAAAGGTGGTGGGCCCTAGGAACAGTTCCCACAGAGGAACCTGCTCGATACCATGAGAAACTGAACGAGAATGAATTGACTAAGGGAAAGTTGGGTACAAATGCAAACCCTAGACAACTGTACCCTATATGTGCTACCCCACTATAGCCTACAGTAGCTATGTCATATAAATCTGACAAGCCGTCCCCTGCTCCTCCTCCTCATCCGTCTCCCACTGCTGCAGTTGCCGCTGAGGGGGGTGGGTGTGTGGGAGCCGAGGGAGTGGTGCTAGGGGGGTGACGTGGGAATGGAGCTAGGGGTGCAGCAAGGGGTGTGTGAAAGGGGGGTGGGACAGTTGGGGGAGGTTCAGCGGAGGTTGAGCCGTCGTGTCGCCAGCAGCGCCAGTAGTCCGGAGGCTACAATCTCCGGTAGTCGCCAGTCGCCCGTGGGTCAGTTGCTCCAGCCGCTCGGCGTAGCCGCGGAGCCTGTTACTCCTGTAGTCCGGGCCTTTGCTTCGGTAGCCACTGAGCCAGCCGCTACCGTGTGTCTGCAGCTTCCGTCGTCGCCTCCCATCTCCTCTCCTCCTACATTCCCTCCTCCTCCTCACTTGCCCTCTGTGAATGCCTCTAGCTTTGCTTGTCCTTGTGAACCTGCTCTATGACTGCTTGCTGTGCTGATTATACCCCACTTTGACTATGGGGGTGTGTCAGAATATTATGCTTGTCTAGTCTGTAGTGGGGTACTCAATAGTGAGTATAACCC